TCGGCTAGCTCGCCTGCCTTTAAGGCTTCGCCGAACTCGGCAATGGACATCTCGTCCAGCTCTAGCAGAGCATCTGCAGCGGGCAGAGTATCAAGGCTGATATCGCCTTCTACCTCCCCCGTCACTCCGTTCACGAGTGTATACAGCTGTTCACAGCAATCACGTGGAGCATCACCGCTCGTCACGTTGGACACATCGTCCGACGTCGAAGACGTCACAGACGCCCTGCGTCTTCTTCTCCTCTCCCTCCGCGACCGAGCCCGGCCGGATGAGGGCGGTGTGGCGACATCTCCGTCACCACCACCGGGTGCAGCAGCACCATCACTCCTCGAAGAGGATACAGTGTCTCGCAAGACACTCGGCTGAAAGCCAAGAGGTTCTTGACCTTCACACAGTGAACTAGGTGTCACTTCACCTGCATCTCCTGGGCCACGCCCATGATGCCTCGACTCGCAGTCGACCGCGACCCTCGGGTCACGCAGCGGTAGGTCATCGACCAGATTCATACCACTCAGTGGATTACGCGCCACTCCGCGCTCGTCCTCACCAGGATCCAGCAGTTGGTCATTGACCTGACCTGCACCGCTCCGCGGATAACGTGCCGCACCACGTACGCCCTCAGGGCAAACAGCAACCTCGTTGCTAACAATTTCGGACATACCAATGTCCAGCACTACGGCCGCCTCGGCCTCGTGCTCGCGCCAAAAGCGCTTCTGCTTCCTAGCAGAGGTGGGTTCATGACTCACCAAAGCTCCACTAGGAGCAGGGTGCGACGCACCCAGCGTTTTCGACTTCCAGTCGATCCATGGCTCATGACGTTCCAGCCATGCCATGCCAAGGATGAGGTCATACCTCGCATCCAGGTCTAAGACCAAACAGCGCTCCACGCTATCGAAGTTCTCAAACTTCACTCCAAGGTCGACAGAGACCTTCGACACAGTTACCAGTGTCCCCGTCGCGAGACGGACAGAGATCGTATCTCTCGTTGGCACTTCCAGTGCCTCAGCATACAGCTGACTCCCTTCCAGGGTGGAGCGGCGGGCGTAGTTGCCCGAGGCTCCCGAGTCAATCAAGACTCTCCATGGCTTTGCAAAGCCCTTCACGTTCGCTTGAACGACCAGCAAGCCCGGCTTGCACACACTCTTCTCGTAAGAGAGCTCAGCTCTCTTCGGGGCTGAGCCCCGTTGTCCTCTACCTCTTCGAGGCGCAACAGAACTCAGTTCTTCCCCAGTAGGCCGCCCCGCGCCTACTGGGAGTTGCCGTTTCCCGGCGATGACCCGGAGGGTTGGCTCGCCGGAGCCTCGCGCTTCTTGCGCAGAGGGCAATAGGCCCTCAAGTGCTTAGTGCTATTGCACACAAAGCATCGGCGGATGCCGGCGCGCTGCTCCGCAGCAAGAAGCTCCGCTTCTCCGTCTTCAGCATAGCTGAGGTCCATCGGCTCTGGACCGCTCGAAGAGCTTGCGCTACCAGCGCTCCAACCAGGTCGCGCCGACCTGAAGTTGTGCTCGGCATTTAATGCCACATTCACCGCCTCTTCGAAAGAGTTAGGGTGTACACGGAACACTTCCGTTCGAGCTGCGCTCACACGAAGTCCCTCCATGAACACGGTCACGCTGACCAGTTCTGGAAGAGGGTCCGCCGCCATTCCGGCGATAAGAGTTCTCAACTCTTGGACATAGTCCAATAACTCCTTCTTACCCTGGCGAGTAGCAAGGAACTTCGACCGGGTACGGTACGCCTGATTAGGCGGCGCGAACACGCGCGAAAGCTGTTGCTTCAGCTGATCCCAAGTGGGAAATGCAGCGTCAACAGACGTGCCGCACGTTAGTGCCCATTCGCGAGCGCGACCTCCAAGCCTGGAGATAGCCAGCGCCACGCGCTGATGCTCAGACTGGAGCAGGGCCGATCCCATGGCCATCTCGACCTCACGGGTCCAGAGAAGGAGATTCTCTCCATCCTTCCCCTCGAAGGTTTTTACGCTCACCATGAGCGGTTTCAGTCTCATAGACTCTTCACGCGTCATCGACGCCGCCGCCGTTGCGGCGCTCATCTTCTCTTGGACATGCTCCAAGAGCGCGTTCTCGTAGCGGGAGAACGATTCCAGCCTGTCAGTGACCGCCTCTGGACCTTGCGATGCAGATGAGCCACGCCCTCCGGGCCAAGCAAGGACATAAGCTTAGTAAGCGCGTCCTGCTGCGCCGGGGGCAAATTCGCGAACACGGGGTGTTCCCATCCTCGCAGAGGATATAGTCAACCGACTCAGGAGCGGGATTGACTACAAGTGCTACCAAGTGCAGCGGGGCTGCCGTAGCTTTAGCGTCAGAGGAAGACGTTCGACTCAAAGAGTCACTAATACTAAGTTCCTTATCCAAAGGACACTTACAGCCCAAGACCAGGGCTCAAAGTTAACACCTTAACTTTTATGCTTCAAAACCAGAAGTCTTTATTTACTATTATTGCGGCCAAGCCGCCTAGGGGTAAATGTATCTCTTTAACTATCTAGCATAGTTAAACCTAATCAAATGCATAACGTGTGGCTTTCAGCCAACGTACTGAGAGACCTTGTTAACTCTCCAACTTATGTACTGAGAGTTTGTTAACTCGCCGGGTACTTCGTACCCCTGTGTGTTCCACACCATGTAACCCCGTTACACATATAGTAAGTTCATCAGATTTGGGGTGACCATTAGCTTTTTATCACCATGTCCTACCTCGGCTGGCTCCCCTTCCTTCTCTACGACTCCACTTTGGCTTTTACCATGCCTCGAAAACAGAAACACGTTGGCAACCTCAATTTTAGGCAAAAGAAAAAAAAATGCTCGTGGAAACTGGAAAACCCGACGCTTACACAGGAGCAGCTTGCCTAAAGGGCACAACGAGAATTGGCAATGATCAAGAAGCCTGCTCAAGGGTCTATTTCGGCAATACAATCGCAAACAGGTCGCTATCAAACCGTTCGAAAAGAAGATTTGCAAGCACGTCAGTCGCGACCACTTGCATATCCAGAGCTGGATGACGCCCTTGCTAATTGGGTGTCAAGCTCGGCGCGTTATGATATATGGCAATATGGTGAAGGCAACGGGGGCCCGGCTGCTCAAGCAAATGTCTGTTAATGAGTCGGACAAACTATCATTTTCGAATGGATAGCTTGATTCCTTCCAAAGCCGGCATGGTTTTAAAAGCTTTACGTCGTTCGGTGAAAGTGGTTCGGTTGATACGGCGTCACTCCCAATTCAACTTGAGCGCATTCGTGCTGCCGTGAAGGATTATGCGCTAGCAGACATCTACAATTTCGACGAAACGGGCCTATTTTACAATTTGTGTCCAGATCGGACGATTGCACGCACTCAAATTGAAGGTATCAAGAAGAGTAAGACACGAATAACGGTTGCGCTTGCCTGCAACGCAGATGGATCGGACATGAGAGAACCTTTTTTTATTGGGCACGCTAGTAAGCCAAGATGCTTTAAGAAGAAGACCGGCGCTGAGCTCGGCTTCACGTACAGAAACAACAAGAAAGCGTGGATGACAGCGATACTTTTACGCGAGTGGCTACACGATTTTGACATGGAGATGAAGAACCTCAAACGCCACGTTGTCCTTCTCATGGATAATGCGTCTTCGCACATACTGTTGGGTTGGAGTTGCAAAATGTGAAAAAAAACACTTTTTGCCGCCAAATACAACTTCCAAATTGCAGCCTCTAGACGCAGGAATTATTGCAGCACTAAAGCAGCGTTATCGTTACCGACAGCCCCAGCACGCATTGGATCTCGAAGAATCCTGTAATGACGGCAATATCTATGCAATCGACCAGCTGCTAGCTATGAAATAATAGCTGAAGTCTTGCTTGAGAGATATCGCCGGCGAGCTTGTACTGAATTGGGTCAAGCACACAGGGGTAATACGCTGCCGCCCATCATCCCGCCGTTCCCGAAAGGAAGCTGACAGCATCTTGAATAGTGAGTTGCTCGAATGTATGGCACGGCTACGGGTCCGTAGCCCAATGGACATTGCAGACTTCGTTTGCAACGCTGCGGAGGAGAACACGGAAATGCAGTCGTTTTTCAGCAGCGGAACTCTTGAGCAACACAACTGATATTGCTTTTCTGTAAACTGCTACGGAAAGTATACCTACTAAATATGATGATGCTGTAGAAGAAGAGAGCTACGCTATGACTGCAAAACAAGGTGTTGATCCAGTCCTAGGAGTACTTCAAATGATAACGGACCACCCAAATTTAGATAAGAAGTTGGAGAGGGGCCTACGACTGCTTCAATCGCGTGCGCGAGAGAAACTAGAAACTGAGGAAGCACTGACTTAGACTTCGATTACGAGCTTTTTTGCTGCCACTACACGCTCTTAAGTAAGAACATGCATACAATGTCTAAATTTTTTGGGAATAAAGCATATCAAGTTACGCGTTTCGGCACTATCAGATTTGTCCCATAGTAATTGCAAGCTACCAGGTCGGTGGATCGATTTTATATCAGATATATTAGGATATCAGACTTGACAAAGATCATTTAGAACAGGTTTTACTGTACATCGTTTTATTAAAGTAAATCTTATGGCTGTCCACATCAACAATACGAAAGTGCATGGTAATACATTGTATTATCCGGATAATAACCTCGACAATGCCGAGCAGCTGGCTCTTCCATTTTGCCATCTTTTATCGCTCAACTCGACTCTGGTTGCGGAGAATGGAACCAAACCAAGGCGTTCATTCCGCTGCTTCACTGTGGACTCCACAGTGTGGAAAGTGACTCACTTGACTGTCACTTGATCCCCTTGTCAAGTTGCCAAGTTGACAAGGGGATCAAGTCTTGGTTCACTGAGCCTGATGATCAAGTCTTGCTCCTTGTCACAGCAGAAATTGTCTTGCCCGATCAAAACGCCCTGTCGATGCGCAGCTGTGCATCTTTACCGGTATCCGGTATGGAGTCGCCTGAATCTGTTGCTTTGCCAACTTGAATGTACAGTACCGGTAAAGACGATGAATCACTTCCCCATTCTCTCCACTAGAAATTCGCTGCACAACAAGGCCCACCTGTACAAACTCTCTCTAATGATCACTAGAACGTTTCTGGCGGCTGCGCTAACTATCATCGTCTCGGCCGATACGGACGTCTCAGTTTGCAGGGACGCCACGTACACACTCTCAGACTCGCGCGGCGCCATTTGCTCCGGCGCGGGTGACGCCCCAGCAGGCACGGCGTGCCCTCTCAAGGGCGATGTGGCCACGACCGACTGCCACTCGTATTTGCCGTCGTACGATGGAACGCAGTGCACAGCGAAGGAGGATGCCGAGTGCACAATCGTGAATGGCAACACGTGGGGCTGCGTGTTCGCGTCCGTGGGCTGCACTGGCAGCAGCACGTCGAACGCGACGACTCCGTGCCCTGTGACGAGCCTTCCCGACACCAACGCGACCACCCCGTGCCCGGTGACTTCCCTGCCAGACACAAATCTAACCACGACGCCGTGCCCCGTCACCTCACTGCCTGACACTGAAGCGTCGACGCCGTGCCCGGTCACATCGCTCCCCGATACGGAGACCGCCACGCCTTGCCCCGTCACCTCCCTGCCGGACATGCTGACCAGCACGCCTTGTCCTGTGACGTCGCTTCCGGATACCGACACAACCACGCCTTGCCCCGTGACTTCTCTCCCCGACACAGAGACAACAACGCCGTGCCCGGTTACCTCGCTCCCGGACACGCCTGCCTCCACTCCAGTCACCACGCCATGCCCTGTGACCTCGCTTCCGGACACCACCAAATCACCTCCGTCCCCCACGACACCTTGTCCCATAACTTCTCTTCCAGACTCGCAGACTACAGCGACGCCGTGCCCAGTGACGTCGCTGCCGGACACGACCAGCGCACCTACGACTCCTTGCCCTGTGACTTCACTGCCGGACACGACCTATGCGCCGACCACGATTCCATCTTCGAGCACCCCGTGCCCCTTAACTTCGCTTCCAGACAGCACTGGTGTCCCGACGAGCACTCCTGCTGCCACTACTCCGTGCCCGGTGACCTCGCTGCCCGATCACGAGCAGCAATCGGCATAATGAGTCCGTAGCTGCTGTTACATGTAGCGCATCCTCAAGCTGTCACTTTTTATCTTTCATTTCGTTCGGAGATCGAATCCGTTTTTACATCGTTCGCTTCGGGTCTTGTTGAGCTGCTGATCGAGATCTTTTCCAACTAACAGGAAATCGACTCGCAGCATCGCTGGTGCTGCACCAGAGACAGTTTGACGCTGACAAGGTAACGAATGACCATTCGTCCTCACTCCATTCAATGGCCTCCAGACTGGAGTCCACAGTGGAGCTCACACTCTTGCGTTGCTCTTGTTGCAAGTTGCAACTTGCAACCTGTCAGGATAGTTGTCCAGTGAAGCCGCAGTCACACCTGTCTCAACCGGAGAAACCTGATCTCGCAACAGTAACTCAATGCGCCCTGATCTCTGTACCGGTGCATACCGGTACATGTAGAACAGAGTCCGTACACTGCACTCGGTGTATGTATCGTGGTGCTTGCGTCTGCTTCGGTGCTCGCGGTGGCTTTGCCCTCGATTCGCCCAGTTTCTGGTGCCGTCAACCTGTTCGGGCAAGCTTTATTACTGTATGATGAAGCTCATCGTGCGAGGCAAGGATTCCTCGTGCCGCCTGTATCCGTCATGGAGCGTTGCCGCAGCGATGCAATTCTGCGTCTGGATACACTTTTCTACTATCGATTGGTGAGCTCATTGCCCATTTTCCTCTGCTGGAGAGAGAGAGTTTGAAATTTGGTCGCGGATCAGGTTTACAGGAATCACAGGATGAAGGTTAGCACGACGCTCCTGGCCGCGGCGCTGGCCGTCGCTGCTGCCGTTGTGTCAGCCGACAGGGACGTCTCAGTTTGCAGGGACGCCACTTACAAGCTGGCAGACTCGCGCGGCGCCATTTGCTCTGGCGCGGGCGACGCCCCTGCAGGAACAGCTTGCCCGCTCAAAGGCGACGTGGCTACGGCTGACTGCCACTCGTACCTGCCATCATATGACGGATCCCAGTGTGTAGCACAGGAAAACGCCGAGTGCAGCATCGTGAACGGCAATACGTGGGGGTGCGTGTTCCCGTCCGTTGGCTGCACTGGCAGCAGCTCGTCGAACGCGACCACTCCATGTCCTGTGACGAGCCTACCAGACACCAACGCGACTACGCCGTGCCCAGTGACTTCACTACCAGATACGCCTTGCCCCGTGACTTCACTACCAGACACGCCTTGCCCCGTGACATCGTTACCGGATACAGAGACAACACCGTGCCCAGTAACCTCGCTACCAGATATCGAGACGACGACGCCTTGCCCCGTGACCTCGCTGCCAGATACCGGTGCTTCGGAAGCCTCGGTAACTACGCCTTGCCCCGTGACCTCGCTTCCCGATACCGGAGCTTCTGAAGCCTCGGTAACGACGCCTTGCCCCGTGACCTCGCTGCCAGATACTGGTGCCTCGGAAGCCTCGGTGGCGACGCCTTGCCCAGTGACTTCCCTCCCGGATACCGAAGTCACCCCATGCCCAGTGACTTCACTCCCCGACACAGGGATCCCCGCTACAGGTACGACTACTACGCCGTGCCCTGTAACGTCTCTTCCCGACACACATGGTTCGGTACCTCCTAGTTCGGCACCCACCCCCGTGTCCCGTAACATCATTGCCCGATTCAAGTGCCTCCGAAGGAAAGATCACTGACTCCATCGACTACTCCTTATCCGGTAACCGCGCTGCCTGACACGGACGCACCGACCACAACCCCAGCAGCGACTACTCCTTGCCCGGTAACCTCGCTGCCTGACACGGACGCTCCGACCACGACCCCAATGGCGACTACACCTTGCCCGGTGACTTCGTTGCCTGACACGGATGCTCCGACCCCAGCGGCAACTACACCTTGCCCGGTTACGTCGCTTCCTGACACGGACGCACCAACCGCAATCCCAGCAGCGACTACTCCTTGCCCGGTGACTTCGTTGCCTGACACGGACGCTCCGACCCCAGCGGCAACTACACCTTGCCCGGTAACCTCGCTTCCTGACACGGACGCTCCGACCCCAGCGGCAACTACACCTTGCCCGGTAACCGCGCTGCCTGACACGGACGCACCGACCACAACCCCAGCAGCGACTACTCCTTGCCCGGTAACCTCGCTGCCTGACACGGACGCTCCGACCACGACCCCAACGGCGACTACACCTTGCCCGGTGACTTCGTTGCCTGACACGGATGCTCCGACCCCAGCGGCAACTACACCTTGCCCGGTTACGTCGCTGCCTGACACGGACGCACCGACCACAACCCCAGCAGCGACTACTCCTTGCCCGGTAACCTCGCTGCCTGACACGGACGCTCCGACCACGACCCCGACGGCGACTACACCTTGCCCGGTGACTTCGTTGCCTGACACGGATGCTCCGACCCCAGCGGCAACTACACCTTGCCCGGTTACGTCGCTGCCTGACACGGACGCACCGACCACAACCCCAGCAGCGACTACTCCTTGCCCGGTGACTTCGCTGCCTGATACGGACGCTCCTACATCAACCACGACTGCGCCGACGGTTCAGCCCGCTCTGACACCGGCGCCTACACCCACGCCATCATCCGACAGTTCGTTCTGCAGCAAGTTCCAAAGCAAATTCTTCTGCAAGGCCATGTTCCTATCATGCACATGGGATTCTGATTCAAGCGTATGCGTGCACAAGTAAAACCGAGAGAGAAACAGAGGAGAAATTTGTTTCTACAGTCTAACGAACAACAAAACATGCATTTATAAGTTTATCGCAATGGACTACCGATAATGCGTACTAAGACACGTCCTAAAGTGTCCAATTTGTCCTAAATTTTACGGGAAGATTTTGGAGATGTGTCCTTAAAAGCGACTAATCCTTCGTTACAGTATATTATCATTTGCATTGTCCTAAAACTCAAATAATATAAGTGGTCAATTCGAGCAGGTGCAATTTTCGGAAAGGCACTGGAGCCTCGGGAGTCATAAGTTTTGACAGTTCTGGAAACCTCCGGAATCTTTTTTTAAGGTGGTGATTGGCACATAATATGACAGTGTTGGTCGCTGTATTGTTACTTAAGGGTGGCGGAGAGGCCGGAATTAGACTTGTCTTGAGTATGCTCATTGGTACACCAGCATCAGGGGTAGGTCTACTAGAACGGTGCATATCGGTCGTACTTTTGGCATTATCACAGGCTACTAGGTTTGAGAGGTGATGTCATTTTGGAAAGGACTGCATTTCCAGAAGCACGCAGACACATCGAAATGTCGAGCGGGGCGCCGGCCCTGCTCGAGAACCCAGAGCTCCGCTGCCACCCGGAGAACCTCGTACGGCTGCTCATGCGTCATGGCTTGTGACTCCCACCTTTTGCTGAAGCCAAGACATCCTGTGCGATGTGGAACTGCCCCGGCAGGGTGAAGGTAACGCTGCCAGATTGACAGACGCACAGATTCAATCAATTTGGTACGGCAATCTTTTAGTTCCACACACTTATGAGGTCATACTGACAGTTGGTGTGTCTAAACTACTGTAGAATCTACAATATCACTAACAGTGTTAACGCTTGGCGACAGCGAGGTCGTCTTCTTGCAAGGCTTAGCCCCTGAACTACTCGTGTTCGCGTGTTTGCGACCTTTAGCTCCCGATCTGGCGGTGGACGCTTCAATTTTCTGTAAGACCTCATGTGTCAAGAGACGTCCGCCGACGGAAACGCGCTTGCGCTTCCGACCGCGGTCTTTGCTCGGTGGAGTTGGCATTGTGAGGATCTCGTCCTCGACAAGCGCCTTCATATGCAGCCCAGGCCGTCCAGCTTTCAGTGACTTGCCCTCCGCTAGTGCATGTAGCCACTTTCGAATAGTTCTCTTATGAACGCCAGTAGCAGGGGCGACGTGAGCCACTGTATTGCCGGCTTGAACTTGAGCGATTGTTGCTTGTTTAAAGTCCACCGTGTAGGTAGGTGCCATTGAGCTGATTTGGAAACGAAAGCTGCTTAGAGTAACGCTGTCTTCTGGCAGTGATCGCTCTCCAGCCAGCAGTTTGGATTTCGCGCCAAATCTGTATAAATTTCTGTGAGTTTCGTACTTAGTTGTATATCTACAAATGGCATGCTGGAAATCGTAATACAGCGTATGCTTTGGCTATTATCACACCGGCCTCGAATAGATCAACCTAATGACCTCGAATTGGAAGTTTCCCTTATTAATTTTCTTCCGGACCTTCTACGTACAATTACATAAGCATTACTTATTGTCCTAAGGCACACTACCAACCATTTATCAATCTCCACCACGGCAGCTAAGCACCATGGACCATCGCGGCTACACCTTCTGTATCAAGCGCTCGTGTCCTGAAACAAGCACGGCTTACTACGTTTGCAAGCGGTTCCGCAAAGGATGAAAGTCTAAGATAACTGTCCGATCAGGTGCAGCTGTAGCAGACGGGGCTCTACATACGTGCGACGAGGCGGTGCCACAAGTCATTGATGTGCGCAGCGAAATAAGCTACAGCGACGCAGCGTCAGCAACATGGCTTCCCCTCCACCAGTTGTCTAGCAAGAGGTGTACGACGGGATCCACGCTGCCGACGACGCCACGCTCACTATCATTCCATGCGCACCTGCCGTCTCTATAGTGAAGCAGACACGCAAGGAGTGTACGGGCGGTGATGTATACGAGACCATACTCTCTCCAGCAGTACGCTGTGTAAGCGACAAGGACCCAAGGTCCTTTTTAAAGCTTAGTGTAGCGTATCCAACACAGACACCCATCGGAATCCATCGCATGATCGGTTTTGGGTACCCTGATTTGGGTCTGATACTGCGGTATCCGAATATTACCCTTTTCATGGACGGCACCTTTTCGGTGGTACCCAAACCTTTCAGCCAATGCTTGATTGTGATGGTGTTTGAGCCTGCCGTTAATCTCTACGTACCCCTTTGCGTGTTGGTTCAAGGCAAGTCGCAAGATATGTACTGGCGGGTGCTAAATGAGCTCATCATCTTGAGCAACAGGCAGTTGGAGCCTGAAAACGTCACGTGTGACTTCGAAGTGGCGTTAATTAACGCAGTTCTGGAGCTGTTTCCCCGTGCCAACCTCGAAGGGTCCCTGTTTCACTGGAAACAGGCACTACACCGAAAAATGGTCGATCTACGCATTCCAGACTGCCAAATCAAGAGCGCGCTCAGCCCCGGAAAACTTGACACGCTTGCTGTGATCCCTGCGGACCAAATCTCAAAAAAGGAAAAGGATATTTTTTGATCATACCTATTCACAACTTGAATCTGACCTTTTTGATCTTAATATATTTTGGATCTCAATTTTTGCAACTTTTTTAGGGTGTTAGATACGTCCGCAGTATCGTCGACGAAACAGGAGCAAAGACAAAGTGGAATGCATTCTGGAAGTATTTTTGAAGACTTGGATGGAAAGGTATGACATTACGACGTGGAATGTTCAGGAGATGATACGTGTTGGGGTTGATGTGATCAACCGTACTGACAATCCATTGGGGAAGTACAATCGTGACTTTGCGTCCCGAATGGGTATACATCCTGGTCTTTTAGCCTTTATGAAGACACCAAGCATGAGGCTGCACGCTATATCCAGCGTATCGAGGATATCAAACACCTCTGCCAGAAAGCCCCTCAGCATGCCCCACCAGCGACACTGGAGATTCCTGAAGACTACAAAAGCTTTGAGTAGACGCATATAGAATTAAGGTCTTACCAACTAATACAATTTTCCCATGTGTAATTGCTCTTGTGAATTATAGCTAAACAATTGAATTATATTGATAAGACAGTAGAAAACGAGTGGCGTTGTCCTAATAGGACAGTGCATGTTCGGTCTGATGTTGTCCTAATAGGGCAGTGGCCTGAGCTGCTGTGTGTCCTAATAGGACAGAATAAGTGTCGAGTTGTCAAGTGTCCTATTAGGACACGCGGAACCTGGCTTGTTTCGTCCTAAAACACATTGTGGTGTCCTAAATATCGGTTTGTTTATGAGTTGATTGCTTAGTTTTTATCCCAGGTTTTAGGACAATAGGACACTGTAGGACACCCTGTAGGACGCATTCTCTCCAACCCTACCGCCCTATAGCTTTGTTAAATATAGCGAACAAGCTGTTCATACGAATAATTGCAGAGCGCATGCACAAAGTAAGTGGCTCTCAACAGGGGTTAGAAGTATCGATAAAACGGTAGCGATATTGAGAAGTATTTAGGACATGAGCACCAGTAACGAAGAAATGGGATGAAACGATTCAGCTGCAGTACTCTGCCTGGACCGACGAAAAGCGTATGGCACACTGATCTCAAGCAGCTCTTTGGATCATACGGATTCTCAGACTTTTGTTTTGAAACTCATCCAAATTCTTCATGAAAGAACAACAGCTCAATATTTCGTAAATGACAAACTATCTTTAAAATGGAGAATAAGGTCAGGGTCTCGACAAGGATGCCCGTTAGCACCGCTATTATTTATTATAGCGGTAGATACGTTGGGATAAACAC